TAAAGTACACAGCATGCATGCAGGGATCGACGCCGGAACGATGTGAAGGCAAGGGGGGCATATTTTTTTGAAAGGGCACTTTTGAATTGATATTTTTTAAGAGATGTTTGCAAAACATCGGGAGTTGAACTTCGCCTAATCATCTTTTCTATTTATTGGATGATAGGGGTGTGTGGGGGGTTCTCCGCCAGGCGATTGTGCTATTCTTGAAGCTCGATGACTGCATTTGTTGCGTAAAAATTGCATTTCTTGCGTAAGAATTGAATTCGTAAAAGAATTGCACTGACAATTCGACAATTCGCTGTTAATTTGCATGTTTCAAGTTAATTAAGCTTAAAATTAGCAATTAGGAATTTAATGAAAACCAAGAAGTAACAGTACAAAAAGGGCGTTGTGAAAACCCGGAATGCCGGAATATCACGGAATATGGCGGAATATGCCGGAATATCACGGAATATGGCGGAATATCACGGAATATGGCGGAATATCACGGAATATGGCGGAATATCACGGAATATCACGACCTTTTCCCGGAATATACCTGGACATCACGATATTTTTCGATGGTAGCCATGCGACTGTTTATAAACATAGGCGTCTGACAACATATTTTGATTACAAAAGTGATGGATCTTTCCCATTTTGAAGGTAAGTAACAAACAATAACTCTATACTGGAAGTTTTATATGCTGTTTATTATTATTATTACTAGTGTTCACCAAAAATTTTGAAACCTACTGATACAATTATGTGTTGACTTGCAAATGAAAGCAAACGCACATTCAAGATCACACCTCATGATTTTGCCCAAAAAGCATCACTGGAAATGTGATTTATCAGGTAGTATTTTATAACTCAAAGGTCACTTCTGCCCCCCCCCCTTGCCCCTCCTAGCAAAAGGCAAGAGGGGCAGCTGCCCCTCCTCCCCCCCCCCTCAGTAAATCTGTCCTTTCGTCCCATGACTTCTTACCTGATATAAACAAGAATTTAAACATCTTGGCTCAATCTTGCCTTTATTTTAGCATTTGATTTTTGGATAAATGCCTGGTGGTATAAAATTGACCATTACATATGGCCACTAAGCCTTACAGTATCCAAAAATCAAATGCTAAAATAAAGGCAAGTTTGAGCCAAAATGTTTAAATTGTTGTTTATATCAGGTAAGAAGTCTAGTCCCGTCTTAACCTTAACCAAAAAATTTTAACCAAATTTTGTGTATAACCATAGTTAATAGAAGAGATGGTTTGGAAACTCGTTAGAATAACAGTATAACTCATTATCGATGTTAGTGAACGTTTATTCATAAATCTAGTCCTTCACCGTCACGTGCGTATTGTATTTTTGCCCAACTAACCAATAGCAATGTTTAGGAAAGTTGCCTGTCCATGACTCCAACAATATAGGATAAATTGGAAATTTCTATTGGTGGATTTGGCAAAAAATACAATACACACGCGACGGTGAAGGAACATATTTATGAATAAACGTTGGCTAACATCGATAATGAGTTATATTGTTATTCTAAGGAGTAATGAGTTTCCAATTCCAAACCATGTATTCTATAACTATGGTATAACACAGTTTTGAAGGCGTTCGAAAATAATGCTGACGACCGCACTTTTATTATTCAAGACGCTGTAACTCAGGAGGAATTTTAAAATCATATTGATTCAAAATTTTTGGTGAACACTAGTAATAATAATAATAAACAACATATAAAACATCCAGTATAGAGTTATTGTTTGTTATTACCGTCAAAATGGGAAAGATCCATCACTTTTGTAATCAAAATATGTTGTCAGACGTCTATGTTTATAAACAGTCGCATGGCTACCATCGAAAAATATCGTGATGTCCAGGTATATTCCGGGAAAATGTCGTGATATTCTGTGATATTCCGCCATATTCCGTGATATTCCGGCATATTCCGTGATATTCCGGCATATTCCGCCATATTCCGTGATATTCAGGCATTCCGGGTTTTCACAACGCCCGTACAAAAATGAACAACAACAAAAGATATTCCAGTAGTACAAAACTGGACAGAAGGGAGAGCATTGAAACCGTTCCATTGCACTCTTTGAGTAAAATGGGAAAATTTATTGAATATCACGTGACCATAATCAACCAATTTAATGAGCACAATTTAATACGATGTACTGCAGAAACATTAATGTTCCTGTTCGTTCAAACATAGCAAGAACATTTTCCTTGGGTGAACCATGGCCCATTCAACTAATGCGCCTTATGATGAAAATATTCTTAATATTTTACACATAAACAACCAAAGATACTGGATATACAGGGTGTATAAAAAAAAACTGAACAGATTTGAAATTGGTCTTAATTTAGCAAAACAGCTATTACTATCCAGTTTTTGATGTATGTAACTTCTTTGGGTACTTAAGATGCAGAATAATGAAAAAAATTTTCACGAACTCAAATTTTGTGAACCAGGGGGGGGGGTCTTTTCCAACAAACTAAAAATGGCTTGCGCCCAAAATTTAAAAGCTTTAATCATATTTTGAGTTAATAGAGGGGAAATTTGTTGGGTTTTTAAACACTGTACAAAAGGTCAGACATTCATTTTCTTTAGTTTAAGCCCGTTAACTATTAATTTTTTCCTAAAAAATCAGCCTTTCGCATGCTTAATTAATGCCTTTACCTAATTTGCATATTGCTGAAATATGTAAATTAGGCAAAGACATTAATTAAGCATGCAAATAACTGATTTTTAGGAAAAAATGCAAGTTTGCGTAAATAGTTAAAGGGCTTAAACTAAAGCAAATTGTCTGAAATTTTGTACCGTAATTAAAAACCCAACAAATGACTCAAAATATGATTAAAGCTTTTAAATTTCGTGCGCAAGCCATTTTTAGCTTGTTGGAAAAGACGTACCCGCCTCGTTCGCAGAATTTTGAGTTCAAGAATTTTTTTTCATTATTCTACATTATAAGTACCCAAAGAAGCTATATACATCAAAAACTGGATACTGATAGCTGTTTTGCGAAATTGAGAGCAAATTCATATCTGAAATCTGCTGTGTTGGTCTAATGTACTCAGGTGAATAAGATGTTTGTGTGATGTTACTCTGAGTGTATATCCACACCGGGCAGGCTTGAAAAATATGCCTGGCCACGGCGGGATTCGAACCTACGACCTTTGGAATACTAGCCCAATGCTCTTCCAACTGAGCTGCGCGGTCAGGTCGGTTCGAGTATGCGATATTTCGGAACTGAGTCTAGTTCCTTCGATATGAGTGTAATCTAATAATCATGAAATCTGCTGTGTTGGTGTAATGTACTCATGTGAATATGATGTTTGTGTGATGTTACTTTGAGTGTATATCCACAACGGGCAGGCTTGAAAAATATGCCTGGCCACGGCGGGATTCGACCCTACGCCCTTTGGAATACTAGCCCAATGCTCTTCCAACTGAGCTACGCGGTCAGGTCGGTTCGAGTGTGCGATATTTCGGAACTGAGTCTAGTTCCTTCGATATGAGTGTAATCTAATAATCATGAAATCTGCTGTGTTGGTGTAATGTACTCAGGTGAATAAGATGTTTGTGTGATGTTACTCTGAGAGTATATCCACACCAGGCCACGCCAGGCATATTTTTCAAGCCTGCTCGGTGTGGATATACACTCAGAGTAACATCACAAATATCATATTCACCTGAGTACACAACACCAACACAGAAAAAATCATATTACTAGATTACATTGGTATCGAAGGAACTAGACTTTGTTCCGAAATATCATTTACTCGAACCGTCCTGACCGCGTAACTCAGTTGGCAGAGCATTGGGCTAGTATTTCAAAGGGCGTAGGTTCGATTCCCACCGTGGCTGGGCATAGTTTTCAAGCCTGCCCGGTGTGGATATACACACAGAGTAACATCACACAAGCATCAAATTCATATCTGTTCAGTTTTTTATACACCCTGTATAGATAAAATAGTTTAGGCTAAGTAATTAGGTAAGCGTAATAGTCGCGTGTTGTGTAAAGCGAATTTGATCATATCAACAGCTAAATTTGCGCAATAGAAATGTTAATCGTTGTCGTAATATAGCGGTTGTAATTTAATTACACGATGATCGATCCAGGTGCCGCACAGCACGTCGACGACCGAAACAAAGGCGTGGAAGTATATTGCGGACGTTTATTTTATTTTGGACGACTTCTCAAATTAGAAAGATTATATCGCAAACTGCTATATGTAGAAACAATAATAGAGAAACTAAGCTAATACCTACAGAATAATTTACATTTTAATCATACCATGCATTAAAAATTATCATGCTCAGAACTGCGACAGTGAACGAAGATTTGTTATACGTGCAGATTATCAAAACTAGGTTAGAGTTGTAAAATACAAAGAATAAGCCATATACCGGCGTATCCAGATATAAAAATAAGCCATACCGGCATATCCAGATAGATTTGAATCTTCGATCATGCAATGGATCACAAATCATATAATAATCAGTGACGTAACTGCTTTTGGGACAGCCTGGTTAAACTCAGTGCAAGCGGATGTCAAAATTAACGTATTTCTACAACTTTTACATTCTCTCTTAGCGTAGCTTCATGTTTGAATGAGTAGGATGAAAGGGACCTCTTCAGGTAAAGCCAGAGGCCCTTTAGCACAAAGTTATGTGAAAGATAACAGTTTGGTAATATATCTGTTCCATAGCCTCAACCAAATCCTCAATAGGTATATCCGCAATCCTAAATATAATATTTGATAAACATTGACGAATACAATGAAAATTGGACTACCCCTTTTTTGATGCGCACGAATATCGAGCGTGACGGCGAAAACTGTTCTGGCGTGAATATATGTATTGGGGTGATAATCTAATGAAGTTATGCCTTTTGCATAACTTCATTAGATTATCACCCCAATACATATATTAACATGCAAAGTCCTAATTAACATGCAAAGTCTCAAGAAAGTGCATAGTTTATGAATTATGAATTAAGTCTTAATGTAAATCAATTGCCACCAAACCAAGACTGTGTTGTTGCTGACTGAGACGAGGAACATCTGTGAGCTGGATTGACACAATCATAGAGGCCAAAATTATCTTCTCCATGCCCGGAACAATAAAGACCATTGTTTGGCGCAAATTCACAACCTGCACCTCCAGCGAAATAAGAATCACTATGCAGAGAGAATTTATAATGGCCACCTTGACCCAGCAATGCAGTGCAGTTTTTGCACTCTTGTCCTCGGATATTAATCCATTCCACGAAAATGCACACGCCACCTTTCACGAATGTTATTATATCCATTTGATCATTGGATACTTGAAGGTAATCACGAAAAACAACGCCGTCAGTATCATAGTTGCATGCCATACGAAATTTACTGCAATCTTTTTGGATGGATTGCATTCTCGGTTTTGAAAGACGATATGCATCCCAACGAGGGGTGTTTTCATCAACAGAGAAATTCAAATTAAAGCCCTTGTGGGAAAATAATTCTTTCTTTCGTAGTTCATATGACTGAACCAGTGTCCATGTCATCGTTGAATTCAAATCGAAATCACAGAAAACATCAAAGGGATTCATGTTGTCATCAAAGACCAAGTATAATCCTGGAACTCGTCTACCATTGACGTAACAACGACAGGATTTAACCACATCTTGACAGAGATTTCCTGTATAACCCATTGGACAGTTGCATTTAAAGCGAGGTTTTGTGCAATCTGTGGGGAACAATGACTCGTGACTTCCGCCATTTTGACATGGGTTGACAAGACAACCAGGAGTGCATGAAGTAGTTTGACCAACCTTAGAAAGAGAAAAATCAAAGACAATTGAACCTTAATGCATTTGATTAAAAAAGATAACGGTATATACCAGATGTCTCCCTAAAAATTACGCTGTTTTATTTAGAATAGCGAAAAAGCTGGAATAGGTATTTCAAGTGCCCACCTTAAATTTTGACTACTAAAAGCATTTTTGCAATACCAAATTACGAGTATAAAACAGCCTATGAAATACTACATGTACCATTTGGTTAAAAAACACACACGTACTGCAAAATTGTATCAACGACTTCTATACTTTTAACTGAAAATGCTTGATATTCAGCATTGTCCTGTTTGGAAAACAATGTGATCAAAGAATATTTGGTTAATCCCCGAGCCGATGGCACGGAGCGCCGTCCGGGCGTAAGCCCGAGGCGAGGGTACTAATCAGAGGCGTAGCGCGCGGGGTGACACCCCACCAATTTCTGTGAGGTAGTCGGTAAAACACGAAATTAGTAGGTAATGGCAAGAGCCATGACAGCGGTCGGTAAACAAAACGAATCGGTTAAAGTGGAATTTTTCTGTGTTGTTAAATGGCTTTTAATAATCAATCAATATTGTGCCTTGTTTTTCAATAAATTTATGCAAAATGTACGTAATTCTTCAGTAATTACTTATATTAAATATCCGTACGCATAAGTATTGCAGTCAGCCCCTAATTCCCTATCGTATTACATATTGCAAGAGCTGCGAAAACAGTCGGATCTGATTGGACATGTTCAACTGTGCGCGAACATCTGACCTTGATACAGTGATACGCCAAATAAAAATGATTATATTTATTATTGACACGAGGTGCTTATAAAATGTTTAACCAATTTTTCAAGTCTGTTTATTACAATACATAACAAGATAAATGAATAAAATGACTTATCGCGAAGTAACAAAGACAACAATTATTCCAATTAATAAAGCGTTTGCTGCATTTCTGGTTTTACCTTATTTCTAGACGGCAGACTATTAAGCTACGGTAAGTGTCATTAAACGCGCGCCGAAATATTTATTTGTCAAGTGCTGTATAGCTGTTATGGTATATGTTATATATATGTAGCGTATAAGGGAGGTGTACCTTGCCTTTTTTTACCAAATACGAATATCCTTTTATTTCACACGTACGTATTATATTACTATAATAACCAAATTATCTCACTTTACTTTAGCGTCAATAGCGTGCGTATATTAGGCTTAATTGTGTGCGGAAGTAATAAATTTAAATTAAACAAGGAAAACTAAAATTTGAAAGGATAATGCATGCAGCATCTATTGCTACATCCACGACAATGCTCGCATTTAGTCTTTTTATTTTTAATAGACTTTACCGATCATTCTCTTCTACCCAACATCATTTGGCCTCGTTTCCATGTTAACTTATTTTAGCATGTCAGGGGCAGATAAAGATTATATTCCCATGTTTTCCTGGACGAATTTGTTTCTTGCTGTTCTTAGCCTCGATAATAAAGTAATTTTTAACCCTGCTAAGCACAAAACATGAGTAAGTATTTGACATGTAAAAGAGAATAATTGGTAAGGTCTATTATATAGATAGAGAATAGAGTGGCCTAGCTGGAGTAATTGACTGGAAATTTTTACTTAAAACGTTACAGTTTTCATGTTTTCACCAGTTACGTCAATAGGCTACGGCTAAGTTGATAAAGTTTATTTGTACATATTATTCAAAAACTCATTTTTTTTAATGATTCATGAGGAAAACACAAACAAGCGTGTCGTCTCCTTATATGTGATAGAGATTTCCCTTGCATGATTTACATAAACTTTAACTTTGATTTTTTCGACAAACACAACGTGCTTTTCGAAAATTACTTTGCCAATAAGCTTACTATAACGATCGTTTTTGAAGCAATTTAAAGCCTGGTTCACATATAAAAATTCGCAGTGCCTGTTTTATCAGACCGAAAGATACTCGGCTTCGCCTCGCATTTTTATATCCGATAAAACACTGCTGCTCATGTTTCAAATAGTCACGCTACGCCCCTGGTACTAATTCCACTCGGCTATATTTACACTCGTATGATGTTCGAAGTTCATCAAATACCGCAAGCGGCGACTTCTGGCTATGATCCGAGGGTGGGCCTTCCACTGATCTCAAACGTATGATGGATGTCATGGAAATGGCGAACGCTGATTCGTCAAATTTAAATTGCGCTTTATGATGACTGCATCACGACAGCATAATAACAGACACTATTTGAAAATGAATATTCTGCATTTTAAAAGATTTTTCAAAATCTATTGAGTCCTTTATGCGGTTTCTTTTGAGAAAATTAAAAATATATTAATTGAACAAATAAAATACTAGCACTAAAGAAGGAACCAGCCGAAAACCAGCAAAAAGACAGGAAAAGCCGAAAGACTTACTAAAAGAAGCGAGTACGAACACCGACGGCGACGCTTGCTACAAGAGACTGAAAAATTTTATTCAGAAACTCGAAATATCGTTATAACGTTAATGAGACGTGCAACCAGATAATTTATTTATTTATAACAATGGGGCAATGGATTTCTGGAAATTTGCGCATAATAAGGGAACCGTCGACCGAGTTAAATTACATTAAACATAAAATATCCGCCATGTTCTGACGTCATTGTTGCCATAGCAATGGCTGTTAGGAGTAGTTTTTGAAAAATTTAGTTGTTGAGTTACACCAGACAGATATACTCTTTGTTTTTAAACAAGTAATACTTTTCCAGAAATTCATATCCAAATTAGAAAATCCTTAATTTTTAAAAAAAGTGTAGCAAGCCACCTTAATAAAAGTATCGTGTTACCATGACAACTACTTTAATGCTCCTGAAAATATAGCTAATGGTTTTGCAAGCAAGGCGAGGGGTTTCTGCTCGCATGTATTTCTAGTTTACTATTGATCCAAAGTTTTGCATGGATATATAACAATTCACCTTTGCTGCGATAAGTAATGGGACGTAAGCAAATTTGCAGATATTTTCGGACAACTTTTGTCCCTTGCTGAGTAAAAATATATATACGTGCGCGAACTAGACAGGCAGAATATCATAAAAGAAAGGGCGAATCCGGTAATTATTTAGTAAAGCAAGTAATCTAAACTTATTACTTATTTTTATTTCTCAAGGATTTATACAAAAGGTTGCAACGTTTCGGACATTTTAAATGTCCGTCTTCAGGCGACAATTGTTGTTAATGTTATATTCAAAAATGCTGACGATTTAACTTAACTGTCAGTCACGTCATTTTGCGCCTGCGTCAATATCACAGAGTATACAGAGGCGGAACTCGCGGCGATTCCTTTGTTCTTTGTGTCCCCGTGCCACGTCATTTCCACGCGCCACGCGAATTGCTCTGGCAAGTGTCATTCGTCGTGTTTTCAGTCAAAAGCATAGGAAAAACACCGTTCGAAAGTAGAAAAATAAATATTTTTGCGAAGTTCCTCAACCAATCTTCATTTTGGGACTCAAATTTGAAAGATAAATGGTAAGTGGTTATTTTTATGTAAAAAGATATACGTTTATAGGCTAAATACAAAGAAAAAATAGTATAATACAATTTACAATCTCGGTGCTTGTGATGTTCTTGCCAAGAAGCAGATTCCCATTTCGCTAAATTAATGCGGGCCAAACGTATTGCTTTCCTGTCTTTTACATTAATAAGAAATCATAGGTGCTGATTTGAAACACGTCCATCAGGTTCCATGCATGTAGCTTTGCGATTTGTGAGCAAAAATTAAAAGTTAAACTACCTATGTTTTTAATACTTTCTGTGCAACTAATAACCACATTCACAAATATATTCTCCAGCAAAGAAACGTTTCTTTACGGATTGTTAATCCGCATTTGAAGGCATGCTTATGCCTTCAAAGGTCAGAGGTCTTTCACATGCAGAATAGCAGAGACTACTGTCATTGACATCCTTTGTCACAAAATTATGATGGCATATTGGACAGCTATGTTGGATAAGGCACTTCCTTAATAAATAGCCTGACACATAAGTTCATGCAGACTAAGTTTTGTTCAATTTCATTTGTTTTGTAGTCGGTATCTTCAACTGCTTGGATTAGTGGTGGGCTTGTCTGATCATTTCCTGCAGATAAATCAGATTGGCTAGGGTGAAATGCAATCAAATCTTCAGCACAGGTGCCAATTGAAAGTGGTGTCAAAATATTATCTACAAATAATATGCAAAATGCTCTGGTGAACTGGATGGAACTAATTGGTTGTCACAATTCCCCCCCCCTGCTGCTTAATGAGGCCAAAGAAGTTCTCCAGAGATTGAGTTCTCCATGAGAAACTCCAAGGAATGATGTTGGTTTATAAGGTCTTGAAATGTAAATACTACAGTGTAATTACTACTGACAGTGTAAATACTACTGACAGTGTAAATACTACAACAGTGAAATGTAAATACAACAGTGTAATTGGGGTTTAAAAATACAAAGTTTATTTTAATAAATGTTGTTTATTTTATTTCACATTTATATACATTCAAGAACTTAAATTATTCAAAAACTAAATAAATTAAATATGTGTTCAATGTCAATGAATATTGCTATATTCTAAATTTTTTATTCCAAAATAGGCAATAACTGTTTCCTTTATAGTTGACCCCACATGTTGTCATGAAAATTAATACTAAATAAAGAAAGTAGCCAATGATCCATGTTTCCTCTTACAGTCTTTGCTTTATATGAAAAATTAAATACTATGAATAATTGCATTGTTCCTTTTATTGATAAAGAGTTTCCCATTAAAAGAGAAAGTATTCCCAATTAATACTTTGCCTGTTAAAGTGTGCCCACCCCTTGACGAGTAAAATCGTCTGGCGTTAGACAGAGTAAAATAATCTGGCGTTAGACAGAGTAAAATAATAAAGTAGGGTGCATCAGGGCACATGCAATGCAACTCAATGGGTTAACTGGATCGCCCGGTGTTAGACAGAATAATAAAGTTGGGTTAACATGTAAAATTGTCTAGCTTTACAGTACATCTTCC